CAAAGGGAAGTGGCATTTAAACAGCTTTTCTTCAGAACTCTTCCATTTGGGAATTTGTTTAGCTCTCCATAAACTAGTATTTTCAAATATCAGAACAGCAACAGCAAAGGTGCAAAGGAGATGACAAGCAACCATCTACATGGAAACAGAATAAAACAGAAGGAAGGATGAGGCCAAATGGAAATACTTGCTTATAAAGAAAAGGAAAATTGACAGTTTGAATATTCTCTTTGCCAACAGAAGCACTTCAATCTTGAGACACTTTACTGCAGGAAGCTGAGATGATACAATTAAACACACTTAACCAAAGACAGCAGAAAAGGCACTGCAGATGTCAAGTAATTTGTGCATATAAATTGATTTTGAGATGAAAAAAATTACACAATCTAAAACTAAATATATATTGAGCTAACATTTGGCTTTCCAAAGCAAATGAAAGTTGACGTGGGTATAAAGTTTACATGGCAGAATGCACGAGTGTGAAGCACTGAAACAAAAAAATGTGATAACTGAGTGTGAAGAGAAAATTGACTATGACAGCTTTAACTGCTGTTATATTATCAATACTGATAAAGTGAATTTTTAGTTTTTAAATGGAGCATGTGGCATCTAAAGGGGAAAAAGTATTAACTGTGGAAACTAAGGGCTTCTTGACTACTGTTAACTTATTTAGCATAGCAAATAAAAGCATTAGAGAATAATTACATAAGGTTTGTTTTTCATTTGCACTATAAATCACAAGCAAGAGATGAAAGTCTCTCCTCCTAAGCTATTTCATATTCTCAGAAAGAACAATTAAAAAAAGAACGAAAGATACTATTATACATTTGCTGGTTGTAATGATAACCAACACGCTTATCATAAATAACAAAGGTTCGCTTCACAGATCTAAGAACACAACCCAGACAAAAGTATAAAGGACAGCCAGTGTTGTAATTTGATTAGCCTTAGGGATTTACAAAGCAAGTTTCATCTTCAGTGTCAAATTGACATTTTAAAAAATGCTTAAAGCAGTTTGGCTTTGCAACTGCCACTTTCAGAGTGCTTTTCCATGGAGATATCTAGCCAGCTTCACACATTTTCTCAAGTACTAACAACTAGAAGACCAGGTTCCATAAATAACAATTTTTGTAAGCTAAACAGTTAAATCTCAAGTACAATTCTAGTCATACTGGGTTTCAGTTTTAGCTCTTCACTGAAACGAAGATATCATTTCTCTCTCAACCAGCATGAACACTAAACTACCTTTACTGAATACCACTTACTAATAATAAATAGTTTCCTATGAATATGGAAGAAGAAAAGAAAGAACATCCAAAGTGTATTTTGTTGTCTATTCTTTTTAAGAAGGCTAAGGAAGTCAGGAAACCGGACAGGAAACATACAGGACTGATTACTGCTGCTTCAGTATGTCATCTGGTAGACAGCATCACCACACACCATCACAGAAAACATTCAGATCCAAAATGTTCTCAAGTACAGCATACTCTAAACCAGAAAAAGGTAATGTAAACTTTTCATATAGCTTTACATATTCACTGGATTTCAAAAATAAAAGGGGTTTTGTTTGATTTATAGTCAAACTGTCCTTCTCAGTTTCTAGCAATCGCTTTTCATCTGACTGGCTAGTTTCAACCAAACCTGGCAGAAAAAAGTAGGTTTGGTCATGGCTCTGTGCAGGGAAGGGGAAAAAGGGACATGGCTACACAGTGCCCCATGGAGGAAAAAGCTTCAGTGACTGTTCAGTCATCAGTATGGCTGCCACGTGGCCTGTCAACAGACCAGAAGTGACCCAAACCTTGTGCTGCCTCATTTGAAGAGGCTAGGATAGAACCAGGCTTACTACCAAGTTAGGTGGAAAAAGGCATCAAAAAAGGAAATCAGGCACCATCTTTCACTTTTTGAGAAGCAACTTACATTTTACTAATGTCCATACATAAGAAGAAAAAAAGCTTTGTGTTTCTTTGTACTTTACAAAAAAAAAAATTTCAAAATCCATTAAGTCAAGCAAAAATTTACAATCACAGAACACTTTTACTTGCTTTATTCAGTGGTTAAGATGGTGCCATTCAATGAATGCGTTTAAAAAATTTGTTGTCATCTCAAAAGATGGATTAAGGTTTTATTTACTACACATTATTTAAATTTTACACCAAGGATGGCAAGTGTTACTTTCCAATGAGCATCTATATATTGTTCACGGATACAGTATTAGTGCTTTCTCAACAGTAATGACCCTATCCTCACAGCATCCTCACGACTAACAGCTCTGTATTTCCCTTTTTTACAAACTGAAAATAGAGGTGCAGAGAGATTACTGAGCAAAGCCCATCAGTTTTAAGGCAGTTAAGGTCAGCTTTTCTTCCAAATACTTCATACCACATAGAGCTACTTCGGTTTGAAACAGCTCCCCTTGAGTTTGGTAAAAGCTATGAATGCTAGTCACTTTTGCACATCAAACTCGATATCCTGACACCATGAACACACAATTATAAACAGCTAGAGAGTTTATAACGCCAACAATTATAAACAGCTAGAGAGTTTATAACGCCAACAATTATAAACAGCTAGAGAGTTTATAACACCAACAGAATGAACTGCGTTAAACTCATTTGAACTTCGACATAACATGGCAGTAGTACAGGGTTTCCCCAAATTTAATCTTATTTGAAACCGTTTCAGTTTTAGGAAATGAGAACCAAAAAAAACAACAACCACCCAACCAAAAACCAAAATCCCATTTAAAAATACTCAGTGACAAGAAATTATTTGTGTTTAGTAATGCATTCCAATGATTAATTAGTCCAGTAAGAACACACCCCTTATTTGAAGCCTGAACTTGCTTAACTCAGCTTCCAACCACAGAACTGTGGTATACCTTTGTCAGCTGAAGAGAAGGTTGCTTTTATCAAATACCTCTTCCTCTAGTAGGTACATATTGACTAATGAAGCATTTCCTTAGCTAAGCTAAACAAAGTAAGCACCCTACATCTTAATTACTAAGACTGCTCTCCCCTCCTCCCAGTCATTTTCAAGGCTATTCTCTGGAAGCTCACTTTTCACCATCCTCCCTGGACTGTTAACATCAGATGTACTGCTCCAGTAACAGTTATAGCTAAATAGATAATACACAACCTCTTTATTTCCGATTCCCTTGCTCAATTACTCAGTTTTTCACCAGACCTTTTAGCTGCAGCCAAAAGCATTGATTTCAACTATTATCAGTCATCAACTCCAAATCTTTTTCAGAGTCTCAGACTGAGTCCCCCTACTTGTTGTGCAACCCAGTATTTAGGTGCACTGATTCTGCCATGACATAAGCAGTACATATTGTTTAATGTGTCCAATTTATTAGTAATCTGAATCACTTTGCAACCTTACCAATGTTCTTTTGGTCCCAAGTTTATATTTTATGATTTTCTAGGTAAGTAAAAATATCTGAAATAATCCCAACACAGTTACTTACAATAAGAACCTTGGATATTCTGTAACCTCAAGTAGCAAAGGTTAACGCACTGTATGCAATAGCAGACTTATCTCTAGTATGTGCCAGCACTTGCAGATGCGTAACACACTCTGATGTTGGATTTTGCATGTTACTCAAACAGCCTTGCCTAGGGATCCATGTTTGCAAGAATCCAAATCTCTAGCCAAAGCCCTCCCAGAATTCTTAACTAATAGGAGTTACTACAGTTTATTTTGTAACATAAAATTTAACAAATCTTTAAAATACTGTCCCTCTGACTGTAAGCAGGGCAGCAGCCTCAACTGTCAGGGGCTTAGCTTCCAGCTTAGCTTCACCATTTTAATGAAGTTGAAGCAGAAAGCAGGGGGCATCTAAAGGAGAAGAAAATTGAGAAATAGAGAAAAATAGTATCTTCCCATAAAATGTCTCCCTTTGAAAAAGAGCTGCATAATATTTTCCCAAACTATGAGAGCGTACATACTTAGACACAATTATTTCCTGGCTTTTTAAAGCACTATAAACATTATTGGGTGCACTAACTAGGACGCTATCTTTTGTACGTGAACTTTAAAGGCAGTTACACAGGGCTTAATCTTCTCCATCAAAAGCCTTTAGAATTACACAGCAGAAGGAAATCCATTCCTCTTAAGTCAGCCAGTTCCACATCTCTGATCCGTACATTTCTGGTATGATAGTTGCTGTGACCTCAGGAGCATCAGAGGGAAAAGGCCTCACCAGTCTTACTCAAGTTCTTGCCACAGTTTCACTCTTCCACTGGAGTGATGAGTAGGTTACCCATACTAGGAGATACTTCTAAGAGTTGAGTCTCAATGACATCTTTTGAGTTTATATGATCCTCTGTGGATCATGTAATGAAGGAACACACACACACACCCCCCCTATGCAGCTTACATCTTCTGAAGCACTTTTCAATCAGTTCCACCCAGGCCCTGCACTGAGTGTCCATGTCTTCCTTTGTATTTTATGGGCAAGTTCACAGACAAGGAGGTGCTGAGCTGTTACCTTCCTTTCTGCATTAATTAGCATACATTATCAGTCATAAAAGGTCTTTACACTGCTCCAGAGCATAAGGCCTTTTGAGATTCTATAAACTTAAGGGACAGAGGCAGAAAGAGATCTTCACCTAGTGAGAGCACGCACTACTTAGAGTAAGCATTGCATTACAAGAGAACCATCAGGGTAAGTAATATTTAATGGCAGCAAAGTAAAACATAAGATTTAAGGAAAAAAAAAATAGAAAACAAAGCACTGAAACACAGCTGGAAAATCCTGTAAACCCTTATATCTGAACTCCTAAAGAAAAAAAATTAAAAAAAAAGAAAACCAACAAAAAAACCCACCAAGCAAAACAGTTACTGTTCCCCCGTTCCCCAACTATTTTCCAACTGGTACCTGCTTGAAGATTCCTGCTAGAAGTTTTTTCTGGTTTTCATCTTCCTGTCATTTTCATTCTTCTCTGATTTTATTACTTGATACTGCAAGGCAAAAACTTAAGAAAGGAGGAAGAACTTACTGGTATTGAGAACTCCTCTGCCAAATACTTCAACACTGATGCTCCTCTAGCCAAAAAGTTACTTCTCTCTGCCAGGTTGCCTTGGAGCTGTGTGTCAAACTCCTTTCTGACAACTGAAGCAACAGAGTCAATTATTATGAGTTTAACTTTCTTTGAAATAATTTCTTCTTCCAAAGACATAATCCTAAAATAGAAAAAAAAAAAAACCACAAAAAACAGTTATTGATAACATTATCTATACAATAGAACCATTTTATAACCCCGAAATTGTTTAAATAAAAGGTTTACTTTAATAAGTTGAAAGTCAGCTCCTCCTTTTCCCTCCCTCACACACCACCTCTACTAACACCTGCATGTATTGAGATTTGGAAAGGAACCTGAGGCTCCAGTGGGCTACATAACCCATGGCAGGACCTCTCCAAAAGACAGATTTGGAAGAACCTCTAGTTAGCAACACTATGCTGTACAACTCCTGAATGGCAGACAGCAAGTTAAGTGGACATTGAAACTGTGCCTTTTTGCTCACAGCAGCAGCATCCCATTGCCAACACCAGAATCCTTGGCGTCTATATATGCAGAAGGTCAAATCCATTTCCGTATACCTCCAAAGACAGTATGCCAAACCTAATCCCTTGATAATATGTTACCAGCTGTTCTCTGATAAAGCCGCACTAGGAGAAGAAACTATTCCTAGAATAATTCTGCCATTAACATAAAATACACAAGATGAACATAAAATACACAAGATTATGCTAAAATATAACTTAATTCATATTCATTGCAAAATGTGTTCACAAAATAACGTAAAGAAACAACATGACAACACAACACTGCATTCCTCTCTCCCACTGCTGGAAGGGTCCCAGTCTTGCTGGAAGTAAACTGTGCTTTGGAGGAGCAAACTCCTGTTTCATGGAAAACGTAACTCTTACACTATGGTCTCCACAATCCAAGACCAGACCTGTCACATGAACATTCCTCTTTAAAGGCTTACAGGGATCAGAACATATAGACATTGTCTATCAGAAATGAGAAGCCATCAACTGGATTAGTCACATGCTATGAAATGAGAAGAGCAATGTCAGTCTTTCTGTAGCAATTTTACTTCGTTGGAGACCATGCTGTTATCAACATGAAAAGGCCTCAAAAAAATGAATTAATCTCCATCAAAATATGATATAAACCAAATATTGTTATAGAAAATCCAGTCAAAATGGTCTTTTTTTAAAAAACAAACAAACAAACAAAAACGTCTAGAAAAGAATACCTCTTCAGTACACTGTCACATGTCAGTTCTCGATACAGGTGAATGCTACGGGTCATGCAGAACAACTTTTCATCTGAGTCAAAATAAGTAGGGAATCTGTTTCCTGCTATCTCAATCAACCTATCAAAAAAACAGAAGGCATAACACTGCAAAAGGAATAAAGTGGGATAACAAGGCATCAAGTATTCACAAAGCAAATCTCTGAATGATAAGCAGATACCAAGTAATACTGGAAATCTTTTGCAAGGGAGAAGCATGCTGTAGCAGTCAGACTGAAATACTGGAAGTCAGAACAGTTAGGTTCTCTTCCCAGTGGTACACTAAGGCAAGACATAATGTGTCTGTTAAAGAGTGTATTTCCTGTCGAAGGAAACTGCAAAGTTTATAGTTACTGAATGCAAAGTTCCACTCAACAGCCAAGCATTCTCCTATTTTAACTATTAAATTAAAATAATATTTATGCGTAAACAAATGTACTCCCCAACTCAAACCATCTTCCCTTCCACCTTTGTCTTGCAGTGAAATCATATATTGAACCTTGTGTCACCACAGAAATTTAACAGGCTGATAACAAACAGAAGATCCATTACAAGATCCAGCCAATATGGAAGCAGGACTGCAAAAAACAGAACCCAGCTCGACTGCAAGTATTTATACAGGCAGCACATGAATGGAAAGTATGCCTGCCAAAGCAAAAATCTTCTCACAGATAATTTCTCCTCAAAAATAAAAACAAGGTCATTTGGATGACAGACTTTTTCACTGAAACTATTTGCATTGTGCCAGTTACCTCTTTGTAAAAAGGGCTTAAAAAAATCTTAAGAAAATATACTTTTTAGAACATAGCAAAAAAAAAAAACAAACAAAACCCCAAAAAACCTGTGTCACAAAGTGACTGAGTCTTCAGGTGCCAGGTGGCTACAACTGAACATCCATCCATTCAGACAGCACAGGTACAACTGGCATGACTTGATATAACGAAATGACTAAAGAGTTTAAGTGGCTGCTTCACTGATAGAACTGAATGTGGGATTCCATGATTAAATGTTCTCCATTACCTTATTAGCAAATTCATGACCCTTCGAAATCTTGAATTACAATTGTTAAGCATACCACTGTTTATTATCAGAGTAGACTAAGGAAGCATATCAGATAACTCGTGATAACACCAAAAGAAGTCAGAGGAAGTTGGATATTTATTATTTGTTGTCAAAATACTTTTATATTCAGAAACTATGCTTTGAAAAAACCTCTTGCACAGACGTAAAACTAAAGATTTACTGATGAGAGGCCAACATTTTCAATGAAATGAGATTTTACACTTAAAATCATTGAGGACACTAAATGGTATACATTTTAGAAATGCTGACTGCCTGCAAACTCTTCAGAAGTCAGTGGAAAGAAGTTCCACCTCCTTTGAACACAAGGCAATTTAATCTAGGTCCTTAAATAAATGATCCAAGAATTTAACTTAGAAATTCATAGTTACAATCAGAGCACTTAAATTTTTTTCCGCAATGAAGATTTTGGGGTTTTAATAACAGAAAATACTTAATTGTTTGTATTTTCGGCAGACATATCCCACTGCCTATAGCTTGAGAAGAGTGGCATCTAGTGGATGCTATCTGTGGGCACAACTTACTGGTTATCTTGATGCTTTTTATTTAGGGCCCTTTCATTAAAACCCAGAATGTTAAAGCTATTTTAAATTTATTTAAAAGAATTTTTCTATTTGGTTTAAAAATAGAAACACTAAGCTTGAATGTTAATATACCTATCCTGAGCAAGTAATTTCACTACAATAGCCTGAATCTCATTCATTAGATACATTAGCTATTACATCTAAACTGCACCTATAACTCTCAAGCAGATACAGCCTATATTGTCTCCCGTCCATTTAGCAGTTAGAAGATATTGTTAAGTGCACAGCTGAGCAGTTTCAGTTGCATGGGCAAAGGAGGAGATAATAGAAGAACCAGAGATGTTATAGAGGTCAGGGAATATAATACCACATGGCCACTAAGGGTATAGGAGAGATGCGAGGTTACTGCAAAGGGAAATCAGAAGTGCAGAAGGGCAGGGGGCCTCACTCAGCAGAAGTAGGACAGAAATCTGAAGAAAAACTGGCTGTGTCGGTCCTACTGTTCACAGAAAAAACTCCATTTCCTTTGTACTCAAAATGCTGGGCCTTTACATCCTCAAAACCTTCTTGCTAACTCCACAAACTAAACTGCAAAGAAAGATTTCAGGTACAGGACTGTTAAGACCACTTATAAATTAGAGAGCATGCCATCCACCTTGTCATACCACGATTGGAATCTGCAACATCATACAAATTAAGGTGAGCAAACCATTCTATTAAATTAATTTCATCATCTATGGAATAACTGCATATATCAAATGAATGCTTAATAACTACCATAGGTATTTACCTTATAAATGCTTAATTATTGCTCAGAAAATAATTGAAGGCTCCAAGATAAAAAGTGCTAAAGAAGTTGCAAGTGTGTATTTTAGAATTTTGCATCTTACCTTTCAGCACTGAATGCAGACTCTGTGTCAATGTATATAACAGCCCCATCTAGTCCTCCCATGCTTACAGGCAGTGTAGCCAGAACACTCACCATAATACAAAATTGAGTTTTGCCACAACCTGGTGGGCTAGTTATCTGGAAGAAAAAAAGATTATTAACATAAACAAGAGATGTCACATTCATTACACCCTAATTCTACTTTTAACTAAGACCCATCAGCCAGAACTCCTCAAATTCTCCTCTTCCAGTTACCAAAGGAGGAGACAGCCACAAAAAGATAGAATGCAGTACACAAAGAGCAACTTGCAGTTACTCTTGGATCCGTGCCTTGCAAACTCATCCACTGAAGAATAAATGGTTCTTCAGACACAGCATCACGCTTGTACTTTATTTCTTTGACATCCTTTATTACCTCTTATATTTGAGGTTCTCTACTCTCCCCCTCTTACAAGATCTTCCCTAGAGCCACACCTCGGTCTCTTCCACCTCCTCCTCTGTGCTACCTTCTAAAATAGAGCAGAATTAGAAGATTCAAAGCTGACATTCACATGGCATCAATGGCCTTAAGATCTGAAAACAAAGTCCAGAGCTAATGAATTCACAGATGTAAATGACTGCTTAGGAATCATCATTACTTTGGTTACAACCAGGTCTCCCTTGGAAATCACAAGGATAATCGCTTATATCCTGTAAAGACTGAATGTTCAATACGAACCACATATATACATAACACAGATTTTATCTGCCCCAGAGACTACACTCTACTATGCAGCATGTGTTTTGTCATTGGTGCTAACTCCCTATTACCATATTTCAACATGAACACCATTTAATGATCCAGACCAGCTTGCCAATTTTAAACCTTCACCTGCACTTACTGAAAGCCTACTGTGCTTAAGCAGTATTCACAAAGAGCACACTCAACTTGTGTGAAATGGTTCCAGTATGATTTTGATCCAAGAGATAAACCACAAAGATCAAAAGAATACCTTGTTTGACGAGATCCCCAGTTTCTGAGAGCAAGGTTTTTCTACTAGAGATGGCAGTATGCTGGTCTTTATCCACTGCAGATCTTGCAGAGATTGTAAATGAATGCTGGGGTCTATGTTCAGATAATCTTATGTTTCATTATTACTACAGTGGGTCTTTAAATATAATATCACATTGTCACTGCTTCTGGGAAGGAAGATTATGACGGCTGAAAACCAGCAAATACAAAATTGAAGTGACTTTAAGCACTAAAAACAGAGTGTGATGGGTTCATTCTGATGCTAGTAGGGACTAAATAATAATGCAAGATAAAAAGTAAGCCTCTCCAGGGAAGTTATACTGGAAAATGAAGCATACCTCCTCAAAACACCCAGTATAGAATAATAGTACGGCCAAAACAGAGGCTTGAATACAGAGCTGTTGCTCTAAATTAAAAAAGAAACCTTACAACAGACACACAGTCAAAAATGAAACTGATTTTTGAGCCTAAATGCACAATAGTTTCTTTTTAAGTACAGACACCCTTTCATCACAAGATACTACAGTACTGCTATGGTTTTGGTTTAAGCAGCAGCAGCATGACTTGAAGCACAGAAAGTTTACAGGGAAACACTGAGGGAGTGCATTAGCTACTGTTAACAGTTGGTTAAAATCCCTTTAATCACCTTTGCCTTTAAACAAGGCCTGAAAACCAAGCCATACCAGTCAATCTACTTGAAGTTTTAATGCAACAGAAGCATTAGATGATTTTTGCTTAGAAGCACACACTGCATTTAGTGAATTACAGATCAGGAATCAGTCATGTTTATGCAATTATGTGTCCTCTATCCAGCGTACTTAAATTATAAAATATCATATCAACAATAGCTGCCACATTTTAATACGAACCCAAAGCATATATAAAAATTGCAGAGGCAATATACATTCCTTAGACTGTGATAGCCAAAGAATCTCATCAACTGTTTCTAGTTAAAAAGAAGACTTGAAATGAGCGGAGGGCATCAATCCAGTTGTTAAATTGTTTGGACGACTGTGAGGGGATCTCAAAAACATTTGTAGTTTCAGCCTTGCCTGGGAGGTGATTGGAATCAACATTTCAGTGGCTGATGCAGGAGCTAATTCAGCAGAGATGCTGTAAAAATGTCTGTGGATACCAGCATCATATCAGAGAAAGACGGAATCCTGTAGTACAAGCTAGTACAAGGAAGCAAGCCACTGGAGCAGGAGAGAATTTCTATTCCCAAATACAACAATACTTCATCTTTTATCAGCATTCCTTTAAAGGGCATTAAAATGGGATTCTAAATAATCCACAGTGAACAATTTTAAAGAACTACCATATTTTATTGCAGTTACCATTGGTTCAGCAAGTGTTTTGAACAATACAATCTTAGTTTACAAAAGACCTAACATTTCTCTACTATAATTTAAATCAAATGTCTGCAAAAAATTTGCTTAGTCTGTTTTACTCTAAATTTGCTCTGAAAAAAAAGTCAAGTCCACCCAGATAGAAATGTGAAGACAACAGTTTTTAATTTATCTCTGCCTAATAAAATATACTTTTATTTTTCAATACGCTATATATTATTTTCTCTGGCACATCTGTGGGGTTTGGATGAAGTCACAAGGAGCTAATTCTTCTTCAGCTACCAGGGGATTAAACTCTTCAATATTCACAAAGTCATTACTTTAATTTTTCCTCAGAGGAGTTGGCCAAAAGCTCTGACATCTGACCACAAAATTTCAGCTATGATTTAATTTCCAACTTAAAACCTAATAGTGGTTTGGGAAAAAATGGTTTGAGACAGCGTAACACAAATCAAATCCCTCTGGCACTCAAAGAGCAAGCAGCTTTGGCTGTAGAAGACACCACCACAAGTCTTAGCCCTGTGGCTCATGTACTCAAATTCCAAGTTTCCAACCACCCTCACTGCTGGGTAAAGTAACAGGAAGACAAAGATTTAGCCACACCAGTCAGGAAGCAAATGCTGCACACAAGATACTTTTGAATAGAACCTCTCTCTCTCAGACTTAGACTATCTGCCCAATAAAAAAAATACCGAAGGGCAATCTGCTGGTCAGCTATGCTCCCGTAAGTTGCAAAAGAGCAAATTAAAATTATTCCATTCCAAAATCCCTTGAATCCAAAAAGAATATGACCTGAAAGTGTTCGCAAGCTGCAGTACAGCGTCAAAGCAGCAGCAGCAGACACTTGATAGCTTTCTACTAAAATTTCATCTAACAATCATGCTGCAGAACACTTACAGTGCTGCCAACCTTTGAATCTACTTCAGATCTCATGACTCTTGCAAAAATGACTCTTTTAAAAATCTCCAGAGTCTGGCCTTAAATGAGAAACTGAGTTTCTGCATAGTTAATTGTTCTCTCCCTTTACATTTGCAGAGAAACCCCTAATATGTGCGCTAATCGCTTTCCACATTTAAGACCTAAAAGGCAAATGAAAAGCAATACAATTTTTTTTTAAAGACATCTCTATTAAGTCAGTCATCTAATTTCTGGACTCTACCTAGTTCTCTCTATAATATTTCTGATTAAATAGTTATTATGCGTCAGTATTGTCAATCTGGCATGAGGGTGCAACCAAGACAAAGCTACTGGTGGAAGGACATAGTGCTTGCAGTTCTGCTGTCATCCACTAGATGTCTTGTACAGACTTCAACACCTCGGTCACTTAGTGACATCACCTATTGAAGGTAACTGCATTAAGCAGATCTCTATTTTTAACTAAAACATGTTAGAATACAAAAAATTTAACATTCAAAACTTTGGGTGTTTTTTTGTTTCAGAAGAAAACAAAGTGCAACACCTTTCCTGGTGCAGATAACAATCAGATAACAGTTCAGCCTATATTTGAATATATTCATTTCCCCCAACTACCTTTAAATACATTGATACATGCAGAGTATGACCATTCTTAAAATAGAGTTTAGCAACAGTTTCCCAGATTTTCTCATATCTAAAGATATAAATGTTTTAAGGAAACACTGAGGAAAAAAAAATATTTAAAATTGACTATTGTAATAATCAACCTAGCTGATAGGCATTACAAAATACATAGCTCTGGAAAATTAAGCATTGGCCTTTACTTCCTGAAGAGCATTATTTTATACCATCTCAAGAAAATTATATTTGACATCCATGTTTTGAGATCAACTGCTTGTAGAACTTACTTTCAAATTAAAATTAAAAAATAAAAAAACAATGCTAAACTTAGAAGTGAAAGGTTAGTTAAACTCCAGTTTAACTAACTCCAGTTAGTTTTAAACTCCAGTGGTCTCCAGGCAAGAACATGTCAAATAAACCGTACAGACAGCTGAATGATAGCTACGCTTAGGATTAAGAAAAAAGACAAATACTCACGATATTGTTATAAGTAGCCTTGTAAATCAACTGTGTGCCTCTTCCAACCCAAAAGGATCACATCACCTTTTTTTTTTTAATTAGGAAAAAAAATATTCCAGGATCTTTCAATGCAAACTTACACTCTGGCCATCTTTTACTCAAAGTTGCCAAGCCACAGGAAGGAGGGCAAAATAGACTGGATTATCTGGGTTGACCTATACAAGGGTGACATCCTTGTTCTGGGCACCACTCATGAGCCAGGCGCAGGCTCAAGGACAAGCTGGCATGTCACAGAAAAGATACATCCCTATTCTACTTCTTCCTCCTACCTGTGCAGCAGTGGCTCTACATTTCAACTAAAATAGCACAATTCAGAAGTTTAAGCAGCATAAGCATGTGAACAGCCACTCTCTGCCTCCACCAAGGAAAAGTTAGTGGACCAGATGGAAATCCCAGAAAGCCAGATCCCAGCCACAAGTGAGCATCATGTCTTTTCAAACACAGGCTGTGCTATTTTGTCGGTTGACTGCATGAACAATAATCCAAAAGAAAAGGAGTCAAACTACACCTAGTGCAAGTCACTGCTTTGCTGACAAAAATGTTTTTAGGAACCAAAACCTTCACTGTCCTCAACAGCAGCATAGTTATTATCTCAGGACCCTGCATACCCCACTTAGAAGAACAGCTCTACCTTCTTCAGTGAAACAGAACTTAGCAAGTCTTTTCTCCCAGAATTTAAAGAATTGCAGTATTCATTTTAAGTTCTTCCAATCAGATTTTCTTACAGTAGATTGGTAACAAAGCTAGGCCTAAATGTAAAGAAAACATTAATTCTGACAGATCAATGTAAGTTCATGGATGCACTCTTAGACTTTTTATGAAGACCTGAATGGTGTATATTCCTGCGCACCATATACAAAAAGAAATACTCAGAATCCTTAAAAAGTAATATCCCCTCATTACATAAGAGTTTGCTAGAGCAGAAATTGTTATAGTCTAAACTCAGTGTTGCTTAAAAACTAGTATGTTTTAAGTCACTATTGGATTTCATAAGTGATTTCTATCTGAGATCAAAACCATTCTAGTTTGATTACAGTGTGTGGAAAAATTGTATTTTCTTCATAGTAAGATTTTCATAACTTCTAACTTCTACTCCTGTGCTCTGGTAATTTGCCACAGTAGACAAAGAAAAGCACTTGGTAAGGACTGTTAAAGTGTTCAAGAAAAAAATAAAATGGTTTCAACCTGTCTAAATTCAGAGCACGAGGCACACAATATATATTTTTGCACTCATTTCTAGTGCATAGCCGAGTTTGAAACTTGAAGTAGTCAAGTGCAGCCACACTGCATAAAACCAAAGTCCATCTAGTTCTGGATTCTGTCTCTACTGAGGGCCTACAACAGATGGCTAGGGGAATAACATAAGAACAAGGCACACATATATTGATACTCCCTCCCATATATATGTTCTCCATCTCCATTTGTAGCTCAACAAAGTCCTAAGCCAGAGATTGCATCTTTGTATTTTTAAAATACTCAATGACTCCTATGAGCATCCACACAAATCCTATCTTTCCAGATTACAGAAATTATGCAAGTTGTTATCACTTTCTGCAAGGCCATACAGAAATCCAGGTACTAGAAGATAAAGTGCTTCCTTGGTCTTAAAAGAAAATTCTAAGCAAAGAAGTAGCATTGCATCCAAAGTCCAGAGAGTGACAGAGTTATAGATAGATAGATATGCAATTAGTAGTATTGGAATGTATGCACAAATAATACCAGCCTTAATTACAGTCTTTTATTTTAAAAAAAAAAAGCATTAATGACATTCATATATAAAAGCTCTGTAAAGTTATTCTCATGCCTACATACTTCACACTTTTGTCCTAATTGCTTACTGTATCTTCATAAAAGCTAATGACTTGGTAAAGTCAGAGTGAGTCAGTACTAAAAGGACAGACTCCTGATTCAGTACCTTGTGCTCTGACCACAAAAACACACTGCAGCTTTCCCACTGTAAAATCCTACCAAGAATCTCCCAAATTTCCTGGGAAAATTTACAATTTTTTAAAGGAAAATAGGCTCACCACATTTTTTAATTCCTTCCTTTTCTTTCTTACCTGACATGTTGAGGAAAAAAGCCCCAACAATCACACCACCAAAAAAAAAAGCACAGCCTCTACTAATTATAAAAAGCACTTCTCATTCAAAAGCTTTGTGTATTTTGTGTTTAAAGCACCTGACACAAGACAGTCCAACCTGTCTGTGACTTTTGACTTCTTAGGTGTGATGTGCAACTGCAGTAAAATGTATTAAATAAGTTACCTCCGTGAGTGATCCACAAGGCACTCCACCATGCAAGACTTTATCCAAACTATGCAGCGTGGTAGATAAAAAGGCTGAAGATGGATTGACAGACTTCCTCAGTTTCATTTCATAAGCCTACAAAAGGAAGGAAAAAAGTAAAAGAAAACAAATTAGAAAACGCTTTGGATTTTTTTTAATGGAAATCGCAAACTTTTTACATTTGCTTTCATCACCTTGGAATGACTTAAAGTATTCCTATCTTCAGCTATAGTCCTCTCTTAGCTCATCACCCTTCCTCGCTTTTATATCCCATTTACAGCTCACAGAGTCAATTTAAAAGTTTGTTGTATCTCCCTCACAACTATTAAATAATAAGCCTTTAATAACGTGTCAAAGGTTTTCTCTGCTCCTGTTCAACAAGGCTTGCTTTCAAACCATAAAACTTCAACTTTTAAATAAGTATATGTGTGTGTATATATATATACGCACACGGTGCCTTGAGGTAGATCTCTGGGTGATCTTTTTAGTTTAACCCCGAACAAGACCTGAAACACATTCAGGAGACCTAGTAATAGAAGCATGCTGGTCTGAGCATCACAAGGGTATTCAAAATTCTCAAGAGCTGTTGCAAGAGCAGCTGTAACTGGCCTGAAGGAGAAAGGGAAGGTGATGGTGTTCCCCCCTCTGTGTCCTCCAGAGATTGGTTCTCCGCAGAAGAAAGGTAGAGAGTGTGATTCCTAATAACTCCCAGGAGATAGCACCCAAGGTATGGAAGAGACAGCAATGCTGAATACACAGACCAAAATATTCTCATGGTCAACAATGTTATCATAAGCGAGTAGAGCACGGTGCAGCAAAAGGAACATTCTCATCCAGCTCCCAGAGAAGACAAACAGCACCACAGCAAATACATAATACAAGTAAGGACTTACATGACACAGCCATGTGAACAAATAATACAACAATGTGTCCAGCAACTATTAAACTAATGTAATGTACACTTACAACTAATTTGTTTTAACACACTCTGGTCAGATCTGTCATTATCTCAACCCTTCGAGCCCCACGTTGCGCACCAAAAGGACTGTTGTGGTTTAACCCACCAGGCAGCTAAAACAACTGCTTCACTCACTCCCTGCTCCCAGTAGGATGGGGGAGAGAATTGAAAATAGAAAACAAAAAAAAAAGCCTTGTGGGTTGAGATAAAGACAATTTAATAGAGAAAACAAAATTATAAGACTAATACTACTAATAATAATAAATATACAAAACAAGTGACGAACAGCACAATTTCTCATCACCCAAAGTCAATGCTCTGCAAGACCCCAAGCTGACCTGCCTCCCAGCCCACCCCCCCCAGTTATACATGGAACGTGACATCATGTGGTATGGAATATCCCTTTGGCCAGTTGGGGTCAGCTGTCCTGGCCATGTCCCCTCCCTGCTTCTTGGGTACCCTCTGCCTTCTCATTGGCAGACCAGTATGAGAAGCTGAAAAATACTTGACTGCTTGGTAGCAACCAAAATATCAATGTGTTATCAACATTATTCTCATCCTAAATCCAAACCACAGCACTAATCAGCTGCTAAGAAGAAAATTAACTCTATCCCTGCCAGGGCACAGGCCAATACAAAAACCAATGAATTTCACCTCACTCAAATGGGATTGGAGTTTATGCTCAAATTCACTTTAAGAGTAAATACATGTTACTGATGAAGAAGGATTTGCAACATGATTTAATTTTTTTGTTTGTTTAACTTCTGACAGGACTTAAACTCTGTAGAATGGAAACAAAGCTTGTAGACCATGGAAACAATATTCCAGTCTAGCTTTCCTGCCTAACATGGACTCTAAAATTTTACCCAGTGATTTCTGTATTTAGCCCACACAATTAGGGTTGAACCACATTGTCTTTCAGTAAAAAAAAATATAAAAAAATTCAATTGTTAAATCAGGAGTCCAAGTGAATGAGCAATTACCACATTGTTAAGACAACCTTTTCCAACAGTAACTTATGTTAGTTTCTAAAGATTTTCTTATTACTTCCCATTTTAGGGATTTATTTTTTAATTTATCTTCCAGCCACTGGAACTTGTTCAGCTAGACTCTAGAAACCCTTAATATAATTATCTTTTTCTACTCGGCATATAACATGACCAAGTCACACCTTAACTAACCTTCTCTCTGATGAGCTCAGTAGGCTTCGCTCTGTACTTCATACTGCGAGGCAAGTTTTCCAGAAATTAGAGTTTTACTGTATATCTTGGCATACTCTCAAGTTTTGCTACCAGTGCTTCCAATGTTATATCTGGACAGTATTTTTCCCTCCTACTATCTAGTTTATTTATTTTTTTTACTCAAAGACATCATCAAATCTTCTTGCTACATCAGTGCGCTGGTTTTGGCTGGGATAGAGTTAATTTTCTTCAAAGTAGCTGGTATGAGGCTATGTTTTGAATTTGTGCTGAAAACAATGTTGATAACACAGAGATGTTTGCCTCATTGCTGAGCAATGCTTAAACAGAGCCAAGGCCTCTTCTGCTTCTCACACCAAGCCACCAGTAGGCTGGGGGTGCACAAGAAGTTGGGAGGGGACACAGCCAGGACAGCTGACCCCAACTGACCACAAGGATATTCCTTACCATATGACGTCACGCTCCCTGTGTGCCGATGGGAAATAGTGAATGAATTCCTTGTTTTGCTATGCTTGCGTGGCTTTTGCTTTACCTATTAAACTGTCTTTATCTCCACCCATGAGTTTTACCTTCCCTCTCCCCCTCCAATTCTCTCCCCCATCCCGCTGAAGGGGTGGGAGATAAGCAAACTGCTGTGTGGTTGTTTCAGCTGCCTGACAGGTTAAACCACAACAATCAGTCATGATGTTACATCAGTCACTCTCACCTGAAGTCCATTTGAAATCCTGTGTTCGAAAAGACTCAATCCACATCCCTCAAAAATAGCTAACATCCTCCATTTCTGTAAGTACAGGTCTGTATTGTATGCACTCACACAGCTGGTCATCTATCAGCTGGCTCTGTATTAACAGTCCTTTGCAACTGCTGTCTGACAAACTTTAGTATCTGTCAAGCTTCTCAGTAAAGAAATTTGATTGAATAGTGTTATGTGGATGACAGGCAAAAGCAAATGCTAGAACTTTCCTTCCTGCACTCTCCCCAGTTAGGCTACCTGTAGCCTAAACCACACTACAGCTCATTTTCCATGGATGGAAAAAATCCTCAAGAAGTTATTTTCAGGATCACTTCACTTCTTGGCATCAATTTGGTGTCTAAAACCAATTCATACTGAAATTTTTATTCTCTGCTTGTATTAAACAACACTTTTTTTTTTTTAGTTGCATGGTCCAAACTAGAAGCAATTTTTATATGCTGGACTGCAAGAGAGAATGCTATATTTCCCTATTACACTCAGAACTAATTCTGCAAGCCTGAACAATCTCTTGAGGCTATAATGCCTAATAATAATCACTGCATCAAACTAAAGTGCCTCATATATCGAAATTCAAAAATAAAAGTATTATTTCATTGTGCAATCAAACTGAGATATCACTAACCTCCCAGGTAAAAAGATGAGTGACACTGTTCAGCTTTTTCCCAGATACTGTATCAAAACCAGAATCAACAGGAACATACTTACTGTCTGCATTTTGGGAGCACAAGCTCGGCTGACTTTACAAAGAAGCTTCTGCACATCATAGTAGCTCTGTCCTGTCACTTTCATTAGCTCCAAGAGGGAAAGACATAAAAAGTCCTGAAAGATGATAGAACAGTTCAGAGAGCTCAACCTAAAAATCAAGACTGAGGATTAAACAGATGCAATTTATACGCAAATAGTATACAAGCCACAGGTTTACCAACTGTGCCATGTTATACACTATTATGCTATACCTCTCCTATCTTTCTCTGATATCTGTATATTAAAAGAAATTGTATTCATATTTTAAAGGACATGGAGACAAAAGACCAAACATTCAAGAATTGTATGATGGACTTGCAACAAGATAACATATTTTTGCCCAAGAAAGTCTCTATCTACCTAAAAAACATTCAAAATACATCACGTCTTCTAGATTGCAGTCCTAGGGCTAGACCTGTGTTTATGATGCATACTACTGAAATACGTAGGGCCTTTTGGCTCTCTTTGGGCAAGCATTCATAAGAACTACTGAACATACTGCTAAATCAACTCATAACTGAGAGTGTAAGACCATAGCACATTCACACACTACATTATGTAGTATCGATGTGTTTTTGTGAAGTGTTTGCAAATGGAAGTCTTGCTCCATACAAACAGTAGTAGCACACCCCCACTAAAATAAAGCATCTTCAGGTTCTTTAGAAGTGAAGGTAGTAAGCACATACAAGTTTAAATGTTTTAGGCATCTGTTGTTTTAAAGCTGTTTACAAGGCAGCAAGCCAGATGGAGCCTGAAATGTCCCCTACTTTATAGAAAGTAAAGCTCCCTGTAAATTAAACTACAAAAAAGTAAACAGTACATGCATTAAAACACACATCCCCTGCCCCCCAAAAAACAAAACCAATCCCCCACCCCCCCCCGAACATAAAATAACCTTCTCACCTGACAGGTAATGATCTGATGGCGACTCAGCCTTTCACACAGCTCCTGAGACAACCTTGCTCTTCTTAGCTTCTTAGCAGCCATGCTCCCCAATCTACAGGGCAAACAAACAAAAATTTTCTGAGATGCTTGGAATATCACTATGGGGACAATTACACTCACTTCTTACGAAAGAACAGGAAAGTGTGCATACACGTGCATTTATGTGTGTGTGTGTGTATATATAATTTAATGTCATATAGGCTGCCCATATAAGTCTATGTCACGTTAAACTATATGACCACTCTGAAAGCAGTTATGTTAAATTATGTCTCCTCATATTTGACCACATATGAGATCATGCCAATAAGAACAAAAAAGCTAGCAATGTTTATAGGACAGATGTTTCTGGGACATAAGAAAGCAGGAAATTATTCAGTGGTGAACCGAACAAGAACTCATCATGCTGTACTGCACTGGAAAGAAATAAGGTTATCTTTGGATCCTTAAACACAAATAGTAATCACAGGAAGTATTTAGCCCTAGAACATATACTGCTAGAACACAACACTCAGTTCTGGTGACCCAGGATTCGTGAAAGATGTTGAAAGAACAGGAAGGACCCAGAAGGAGACTGAAAGGGCCTTCAGAAAGACTGAAAGGGCTAGAAACACACTTTAGCATGCAAGGCTCAAGATGGTCAAACTAGTCAAACTCCTCTCATAACGTTCTATGTAACAATTTATGAAACGCAGTTAAGAAAGTTCTTGAGTCAACAGTGTAAAAGAAACCAGAGGCCAAAGTTAAGCATATGAAGAACAACAATTAGTAGTAAAATATTATTTTATTCTAAAAAAGAAAAAAATATCATTGGACCAAGGCAGCAACAATTGCGGTATATTCGGTCACTTAAGCAAATCGTATTTATTGAGATTCCTGCTTAAAGAGTATCTGATTATTTCAGATAACCCTTAAGACTATTTTACATAGCAGATGATTACACTGCAACTATGAATCCTCCTCCCCTTGACCCTCAGCTATGTGCATTTGCCCCCCCCCCCTTTTTTTTTTGTCATTCCATTCTACTGAACAAAACTCCAGAGCATAGTATTCAGCTCAGGACAGGACAACCTAAAGCACAGGTGTTTTCCTAACCTATACATGCGTTCCAGCACATAGCTGTTTCTTACATATTATTTAGGCAATATTCCTAGTATTTCTTTATCCAGAAGTTTAGGCAAAATAAAGAGGGTTTTATAAAGCAAAATTGCTACAACTTTTGCAGATGCACAGGCCTCCACATCTTCACAAGATGGAAGCTTTATTTCCCCCTCCACAAAATCCTCTTTAGACCGGAGGAAAAAACCAAGCGTTTGAAGAAATCAGTGTCCTTCAGGTTACCAGCTGTATTTATAACCATTTATCATACAGACTACACACTCTGCACACTCAAGCATTAAGGCGGTTCCTGGTTGTGCACATATACCACGTAGGGCTGCTGTTGAACAGAAGCCTTGGCACAACCTTTGGTAACTGGCTTCTCTGCAGTGCCAGGACAGACAGGTGAATAAGGACACCCGTGAGGGGGAAAAATACACACGTATATCGGCACGGTCTTACACCGGGTGACACAGGTGCTGCGAGAGAACTTGACGTCACCACTTCATCTGGAATGAGAAAACGAACTTACGGCCCCAACACCTGCAGCCGCACAGGGCTCCCCTCCCGCCGCCCAGCCCGGGTGACTCAGGCGCCCGCCCTA